TAGGGAGTGCAGTGGGATTGGGGGAATGGGGGACACTGGAGGGCATAGGAAGGATGTGGGGGCATGGTGGGGATATGGGGGAGCGTTGTGGGGGAGGAAGGGAAGAGGGGGAAAGGGAGGGGAGCAATCTTGGGGAGAGATGGGGGCAGAAGAGGATGGGGAGATGTGGAGATCGGGGGACTTTGGAGGTGGGGAGGGGTCTGGGATGGGGCGAGGGGCGTGAGGCTGAGAGAGGCTGTGGGGGCTGTGCTGAGGTGCTGAAGGAGGTCTCTGGGCGGATGGGGAGCACTCGGGGAGATGCTGGGGGACAGGACGGGTTGCGGGGAGATGAAGGCTCCTTGAGCCCCGTTAAGAGGAAGAAGCACTCGTGAAGCTCCTGTTGGGGTCAGCGGCATTGCTGTCAAGCAAGGAACCAACCTGAAGGCGTTGGGAGCCAGACCGACTGTGTGGTTGTTTGTAGGCAGTTCCTGTGTCTACGAGCATTGTTTAGTTCTGGCTCTGAACTTGGCTGGATTGTAGACTGGCTTTTTTTTTTCTTTTTCTTTTTTTTAACTTTTACAAGGCTGGGGAAGCACTGCTTTGGGGCTATGTAATCATCCCATTGGGGTAGGGAAGTAATGGGGTGTTAGAGCTGGCCAAATCCCAAGCCGGGTATCTTGTGCGGCTTCCCCGCTTCTACCCTGTAGTCTGTAGGAGAAATCACAATTGCATCGCCTCTGATGATGGGCGAGCTCACTTTTAGTAGAGTCTGTGATCATCCTCTGTGAAAGGTATTGTGCAATTCTCTATTTCATCGTGGTTTTTAGTCTGTGAAATCAAATAAAAACTTTTTCGTGCTACTTTTTCCTGTTAAGTGGATGTGCTCAGTGTTGAAGCAGTAAATTGGGCTCCGCTGTTTGTTTCAGGCATATAGTGAGGGCTTTTATTTCTCTAGAAAAGTAAATCTAAGTGGTAGGTTTGTAACCTGTAATGACAGTTCCGCAGGGTCTCTGACTCAGCCGGTGTCTTTGGGAGGGCAGGGCGAGGAGGAGTCTGGATTAGAGCTCTGGGTGCAGTGAAACCAAGCCCAATTTCGCCGTGCGACTGATCTCTGTGCAACACCCATCGTATCAAAATGTGGGATGCTGGAGCTCTGGGCCATAAAATGCCTGGTTTAAACTTTAAGAGTGCTTGCAGGGAGTGCCAGAATACCACACATGCGCACGCGACCTGGATGGTGGAAAAAATGGTCTTTATGTGCAAACTTAATCCCTGTCCTTGTAATATAACATGTTCACAAAGAAGCTTGTCAGTTTTTCAACAAGCTATAATCTTTAAAGGCACGTAGTGATGTCTTAAATATGAAATAGCCAGTCATTTTGTTTGAAAATGCTAAGCAGAGATGCTATCCTTGTAGTCTTTATTGCACAGTAACTACATGAAGTTAGCGTTATACACTCTTGTCTATAGCTGCCCTCACTAATTTACTCTGTGGTGAGGTTTCAGTGCCTTGTTTCCCCTGCTCTTTTACGAGCGGCTGGCAAACATCCACAGCGTGTCCTAGGGTGAAAGTGTGCTTTTATTGCCGGGGAAGGCATAATCTGCAGTTGTGGGAGGTCAGTTTGTTAGGGTCTTTTATTTTCCATGCAGGGAGGTTACAGCAGTGCAATCTGGTGCTGTAATTTCCCGAAGGGAGGACCCGGGCGCTGTTTCGGATGGCGTGAGGGTCTCTTCCTTGAGCCACACATTTCAGATGGCGGGAGGGAATCCTGTGCTGTAGGAAGGAACCTGGGCGGCAGGGAAGGGTTTAGGTGGGATGGAGTGGATAGGGAAAAGGTAATCGGGTACCGTAAGGGTCCTTCGTGGACATCCTGAGGGGTGTTGAGGGTGTGTGCGAGGGTTTGAACTTGAACAGTAACTTCTCCTTTATTAGCTCCCTGTGTAGAGACTTGCTTAACCCTAGCAGACAGGAAGAGGTATCTGTTAAGTTCACACACTCTTAATCTGCACTGACGTCCATGAGCAGACAGGCTCCTCTGCGGCTCTGTGGGACTTGTGGTGGGATGTGTTTAGCAGCGTGAACGTGGACCGGCTCTGGAAGTTGGGGTTTGCCCAGGGCGTTTCACTGACAGCCTGAAGTGAAGATGATGATGATTTTTTTCCAAGCTTCCTGTACTTTTGTGCTTGTATTTTTTAGATATGGTCTTGAACATCTCTTATTGAGTTCCCCAAAGCTTGATTTAACCTGATTTTACTGTAGGGATAGTTGCCCCAGTAAAATACCTTTGTGCAAAGAACACCCCATTTCACGGTAGCGCCAGGTAAACTCCAGCAGCAGAATTGTTTGGGTGTGGGGTTTGCGCTGTTTGCATCTACTTTGACTGAAAATAGGTTCATGTCCACAGGAGGAAAAACTACAGCTGCGTGTGGCGAGGAAGTAGCAGTTTCTCCTGAATGTTAAGATTGGTGATGAAATATTAATACTCCCAACTGAGTCACCAGCCAGACCGGATTGGGTCTGCTGCTTCCTAAACCAATCAGGAGTTGTACAACTACATGAACGACTTAGTCTGGTTTCCCAAGAAAACGAGGCTTGTGCGATGTTGCTGCTGCGTGTGGCTGTCTGTGCGGTTCCTGCTCTTGGCAACTTTTGAGTCTGTGCAGCCAAATCAAGCAGGAGGCAGAAATCTGAAAGTTAAATTTCTGCAGGTTTCATGAAAATAAGTACCCTGGGAGAGGAGGGAGGGGGGAAAAACCAGTTAGCGGTGCCTACTGTGGGAGAGTGCAGCTCAAGCTCAGCTTTTGCTAGGTAGGAAAGAACCCACGTGGGGAAAAGACCCGTGGGATATATTTGCAGGAAGATAACTTCATTAACGCCGGTGCCCGTAGAGTAGCTCATCAGGTGCATCTGCGTGGGTGTGCGGTTGGTAGGGACCGGGGTTCTTCTGAAGGATTTCAAGCAATAAAAAAAGGGTCACAGTGATCTGAGCTGTAAAACTATAGATGCGCTGCTGTTTGCTTATTGACAGAATTAGCTGCTTTGTATCTGGTTTCTCTTAGGTAAATAGTAAGAAACTGAGGCAAAGAGGCTACGTGCGCCGTCTGATGAGTCATTGTCTGAGCTGGGATTAAACTTGCATGTCTCTTAGTGTGTGGGTTTCTGCTCAGAGCGCGGCTGCATTTCTGGGTGAAACCTGTGAGCTCTGTAAACGGGAGGTATCGTAGAGGACGCTGGAGAGCTGTCGTTTGCTGAGTGAGGACAGGCAGCTGTGGTGCCCGAGGAAGCTGGAGCTCCCTCCTCTTGACTTGTGCAATGTGATGGTAGTTGCTC